ATAGATATAGATATAGCTATAGATATAGATATAGATTCAGATGTAGATAGATAGACAGTTGATTAGGGCTTTCGGCTTTGGGGGGCCTTGTAACCATTGTAGAGGGCTGGCAGTTGCTCTATTTTCGACTCCGGCTGAGGCTAAGGTTCCAGAGAGTTTGAGCCAGGGTTGAGATTCGGATGCCGTAAACGGGTAGTTCTCTAAATTAGGGTCCCCGTTTAGGGTCCTTTTTACGATGGTGCCGGCTGTTTTGGGGTTCCTGCAAAAGGACCCTCATGTAGAGGACTACCGAAAATGTAGGGTCTCCCAACCCGAAAACGAAGAAGGGTTTGGTTCATACTTTGGGGACAGTGGCTGTCCGTTTCAAAGACTTGAACCGGGTTTGAGCGAGTTGCGGTGCGTTTTAGTGTTTGCTGCAGCCTGACAGCGACTCTGACTTTGCGGGTTTAGAGACTTGGGATTTGCACGTTTGTTGTTTGGTGGATTCTATGCTTGCTGTGATTTAGCACCTCAAGCATAGGCTTTTGGACGTGAAAGACAGCCAGGGATTCATTACGGATAAGCATGCGAGGTAGGTTGGTTCTTGGTCCTTGCATTAGCACAATCAAAGTGTTGAGAACTGAATTGTGGGTGACCATGACCCATGATAAGACCAAAACCATGAGCTCTAAACCTCCCACCCCGAGCGAGTCCTGTCTCTTCCCACTTGAATTGCTAGTTGTCAGCTTTGGTTGCTCGGGCTTGGTTCAGGGCTCAGGAAGCAACCCAAACTGCCTTTTGGGGCAGCAACGTAGTGCCCAGACACAGCCCCATAGTGACGAATTCTGAGTAATAAGCCCTGCCTCCTTCATGGCTCATTTCAGATGCACGAGCAGAGGCGCCCTTCAATCAAATTCCATCTCTAAGCCCTAAACCCTAAACCCTAAACTCTCTAAGCCCTAAACCCTAAACTCTCTTAGCCCTAAAGTCCTAGACTCTCTAAGCCCTAAACCCTAAACTCTCTAAGCCCTAAAGTCCTAGACTCTACGGCCTTCAGTGCAGTTTGAAATCTGGCACACCCGAAGCGCCCTTCGGTGCTGGAACCCTGAATCCCAGACTTTCAGGAGTTTGGGGCTTAGGATATGTAAGGTTCGTGGCTTAAGGTTCAGGGGTTATAGGGACGCCTAAAGCCCAAAGCCCGCCAATCAACACCCTAAACCCCAAACCCTAAACAAAATGCAGATACCTATATAGGCTTCGTTGTCGTTCCTTTTTGTGGTTTCTATTTAGGATCCTATAAGATAACCCCAAAAGGAACTACAATGGAGCCTATGGGTAAATGTGGGATTACCTTGCCAGAGAAAGGGGGCGCTCGTCACGTGAGTCCGTCAGAACGGCATCGCTACAACAAAGGTTCGACGTATTTCTCCAGCAACCTACCTTACGGAAAAACCCTAAACCCTAAACCCGACCTTGTAGGAAAACACTCGAAAACCAAAAAGGCACCCTAGAGATTCCCGTGCAAATAAAACCCGAGGCTGTAAGCCCAACCCTTGCATCATTAAAAGAATACGTTGAAGATTAGGCTTGAGGGTTTAGGGTTGAGTGTGTAAGGTTTAGGGTTTTGGCGATATCTCATCGCGAGCTATGACAACCTACTCTTCACAGGGCCCCGCTTCTGTCGGTATGTTAGTTGAGAAGGGGCACAGAGACTTCCCCTGCAAACTCAAGCTTGAAACTTAAACCTGCAGACTACGCATGTATTGCTAGTTCTCTAAACTAGGGTCCTTTTCGGGGATCCCGTTTTTAAGGGTGCCTTACTATATTGGGGACTTAAAAGGGGACCCTCATTTCTAGAACTACCTACATAGAAACACCTGGCGAGGGAACCGACGTCATGACCAAGGAGTTGCAACGGGGCGCCAGAAAGCTCATGTTTTCCACGAGGGGGGGGGGGTCCTTCATTATATAGTAGTTTCTACAAGGGTGTCTTTAAGGGTTGCTTCATTATACATATAGTAGTAGATTATATAGTAGTTCCTACAAGGGTTCCTTTGAGGGTTCCTTCATTTTATAGTGGTCCATTCTATGGTAGTAACTACAAGGGTTCCTTTAAGGGTTCCTTCATTATATAGTAGTTCCTACAAGGTAGTTCCTGCAAGGGTTCCTTTAAGGGTTCCTTCTTGGCAAGAGAGGGGGTCCTTCATGTTTGTGGAGCTACGTGTGCCCTCCGGCCTTCGATTGAAAGTCGAGGGCGGAAGGATACAAGATCCTAAACCCTAAACCCCTAAACCCTAAACCCTAAACCCCTAAACGGATATCCTCCTCAGCTTGCCGCTTTGCTACACACTGCTGATGCTCTACTTGAGCCGTAGCCATTTTGGCTCAAGTAGAGCAATCAGCAGTGTGTATCAAAGCGGCAAGCTGAGGAGGATGTCCTGATTTTGGTTCATCCAGCCCTGCTGAATTACCGATCAGCATCATGGCATTGATTAGGACCGGGTTTGCTCTAGACCGCATGTCTACTCGACGTGTGCGGTCGACAGAGCACTCCCTTTTCCTCATCACACGGCCATCGATTCGGCAGTCCTGCAGCACGGTCGCATCACAGTGTTCACTGGAGCGCTGCCTACTGATGTGACAGCTTTCTCGGACTGGAATCAGACCGGAGTCTTCACATTGCGTGTCGACCAGGCAACGACGCCAGGTGGCGCATGGGCGGCTCAGTTGAGAACCACGGATGCATTCAGGGTGGCACAGCATGGGAGTCTTGATCCAGCCGCTCACAATCAGGGTCCTGTGAGCGCTCAGTTTGCGGTGTTGGAGTATGACGACCTTCACGCTGTGCTTGGATCCCCAGGATGGACGGCGAGCGCGGCTGCGCAAGCACAATTCCTCGCAGCCGGCTGGACAGGAATCGCAGGTCCTGTCAACATCACAGCCCCAGCAAGAAACGCACCAGGCAGGCTTACGATCGGATCGCACAAGCACATCGTTACCACGAATCTGGCAACCATCGAGAGCTTGAAAGATGCTTACAGCAGCTATCTTAGCGCGCTGGTAGCTGGTGCAGTGGTCACCCAGATTGATGGCATTCAAGTGGCGGTTCGGGCGGTCGGTGCTGCTGCCCCTGGAAATCTGGGCCATGAAGTGGCGCCTTGGTCTGCAGCAAACCCAGCGACTGCAGGGCAGTCTTTTGACCAAGCGATGGCAACATTCTTCGCTGGCGCAGAAATCACGGTCGTGGCTGTGTTCGTTGCTTCCGAATGGACCGACGACAATGGCAATGATGGCATCAACGTGGATGCGTTGTGGAGATCCATCACTGTGACCGAATTCCAGATTGCGACACCGGCGGAACGCCCCATCGCAGCCGCCGCAGGCGCTGGTGCGGCAGTGGATGCCTTTGATATGGCCCTCGACTCGATCCTGGGGCAGCTGGCATATGGCTCCGGCCATGACTCTTCACCCGAATACTGGGTGTTTGAGTTTCCGGTGGTTGCAGCCCCTTTCGTTCAGCCTGCGAACTCGGGCAGTGCGGCTGTTACCAACGCAGGGTTGGCGGCAAATGGCCTGACAGGCGCATCGAGGCAAGTGGTGCAACAGATGCTGGATTGCGATCTTCGTCAGTCAAGTACCGTGGGGCTTGCCAAATTGGGAGGAGACCACACGCTTGGTGGCAGTGATTCGCACTTAAGTGGGATCGTCGAGAAAGTGGCCCTTTCTTGCCAGCATATTGCAGAAGGTGCTGCTTTCCGCTGGAATCAGGCAGCAAACGGTGGCAATGGAGCTGGGTCCCGTGCCAACACCAATGGAGACCGAATCGTTTGCACGGTTTATCATCGAGCCAGGCATCCGATCTGTGCCCGCACTTCTGCTATGTTTACGACGGGCTCTCACCCGTCAAAAGGCTTCCGCACCATTGCACTCGGGGCCATGGCATTCATCCCAGCGCCGTCCCGGTTCCTCACTTTGCGGGGTGGTTTCACGCAATTGCCACAGGTTAATGGCTGCACGTTTACGGTGCTTGGTGAGGGGCTGGCCAAGCTCATGGTCATGGACGGCACCTTGGCAGCAGTTTCGAATGAGCAATGGTGGAATGACGTCGGAAACGCCACCAGACTGGTGTATGGTGGCCTGTGGAACTGCCAGTCGTCAGCTGCTTGGTATGTGATGTTCAGCAACACGGGTTCCCGCAGCGCAGCTCTGACTTCTGAGCTCAACAACCCATTGCCCAATGCATCAGGCCTGGACAATTCGCATCCGTCGGTTCAGATGCTCCTCTCCTTCGCGAAGGAGTACGCAAGCAAGTTGCATCCTTCGGGTAAGCTTCTCAATGCCGAGCTCGTAGCCCAGGCTCCGGCTCCAACTCCGCAAACCATCGCACTGATTGCAGCGCTGAGGCAGAGACGCCGCGCCCAAGTGTCAGCTGACGTGGCTACGATGCTTGCGAACATGCTCGGGCGAGGCACAGCTCCCATCGTCACTGCGGCAGAGGCCATGGTAGCAGCAGCCCGGCAAATGCACGCTCGCTTGAATGGGCCGCTGGTGCCACCCATGACAGTGGCGAACTGCTCTTTGGACCCAACAGCGCAGCAAGCAGCATCAACATTCTGGCACAGCATCTTGCAGGCCACATACAATGGTGGGGTGGCTCCGACCGTAGCAGGTGGCATTGCGGCTGCTACAGGAGGTGCCTCCCTCGAGGTGGACAGTTGGGTGGCTGGCAATGTTCAGATGGCCGTCGATCTGTGGGGAACTGGCCAGCTCCGCCATGGCATGATCACACGCATGTGAAATCGTGGAGGGCTTGAGTCGTGGCCTTCAGTGAACTCTCCCTTTCAGTGAGCTGTGAGCTGTGCCTGTCAGTGAGAAATAGCTTTCTGAGCGCTCTCACTGCTAGAGGCTGTTGTTTCGCTGTGAAACCAGTGCTTGTGCAGCTACTGAACATGGCCAGTAAACTCGAGGTTGTCTGGCCGGTCCGGCCGGTAAACTAACAGCTGCCTGAGTGCGGATCCTTTCGTACGCGGTACTGCTGTATAGTTTTGCTGCTCTGCATGCCGATACTGGTAAGGGTGTTGGCTTGAGTGCAAGCTTCTTTGGAGCGGGCTTGGACCCCTGTCATTGCTGAGGAGAAAGGCCACTGCACTTAAAAAAAACCCTCAACCCTAAACCCCTAAACCCTAAACCCCTAAACCCCTAAACCCTAAACCCCTAAACCCTAAACCCTAAACCCTAAACAACAGGGGAGGGTGATCTTAGCTTTGAGAAGCTAAAGGGTTCCTTGGCTTTAGGCTTCAGGGCTTGGGATTTAGGGCTTGTGGATGATGATGAATGTTAGGGCCTCTCGGTTTGAAGCTCCTACTATACAGGGTTTAGGGTTTGGGGTTTAGGCTTTAGGGTTTAGGCTCAGGTGCCCGAAAGTCGTACTGTCTTGCGTCTTCGTCGATTTGCGCCGTACTGGGGAGCTCCAACAAACTGCTCTGCTCAGCTTCCGCCGACTAGGGTGCCCGGGCGATACGAGTTCCTAAACCCTAAACCCGAAACCGTCCTGAACTACTTGGAGGGTCGGGGGACGTAGTAAGTGGGTAACAAGTGACTTATACCCTAAAATGGGCTCTGATTGGGGTTATGATACTAATAAGTCTATAACAAAATAACTACTTACTAAGTCCCCCGCTGTGCTCCCCACAGCCCCCTGGGCTCTCTGAGTGTTTTGCATGGCAAAGGCATGCTATGGATCCTTACATCCAGTGCCGCGTTTGTTGGGGGCCCCAATTTCTGGCCTCTATGGCGACACTCAAAAAGCTTGAGGTTTGGAGCTTGGGTAAATAATACAGCCCAGAGCCCTGAAACCTGAACTGTGATCTCCAAACCTCATGTCAGATGGAGAAGATGTTCGGTCTAGGCACGATTCTTTTGCGGTTCTACAGGCACCTGAACGCCCAGGGTCAGGGTATCATATTGATGTTTAGACCAATACGAGTGCCAGTATAAATGATACTAATACTAATGCCAGTATCAGTACTAGTAATTAATTCCTACGAATACCACTATTACTGATACCACTACTAATACCTGTATTAATCATACCAATACTAACACTATTATAGATAGAGGCTGCTCGTGCTTGGGACAGCGTTGCTTTGCTGGGGGAGGTCGTGGTCAAGGGATACAGGTAACGGTGGTTTAGGGTTTAGGGTCTAAGGTTTAGGGCTTAGGCTCTGCGGTTAGGGGCAGTGCGGACGCCAGAGACAGCAGTGACAACAGATACTATCGACCCAAACCGATGCTACTGTGACAGTTATCAGTTATCATTGAGGCTGTAGAGGATACACCCAGGAGTCAGAATACCGATGAAAGGCATCGATGGTTCAGTTCTTCCTGCCACCGGTCCTGCTGCTACTGCTGCTGCTTGTGCTGCTGCATTTGCTGTTGCCTTTTTTGCGGCAGGGACCACAGCAAACATCATTATGACGACACGGATTTTGAGTGGCGATCGTGAAGATGAGGGTTGTTATGGTGATGGCGGGAATGACGTAGAGAAGGCAGCAATCTAGCTATTATCACTAGCGCCATCGACAGAAATACTTGCTACGCACTGACTGCTAGTGAACCCGGCGAAGACAGCAGCCCCTCAATGCCCGTGTTCTATGTATTGTGTGTATGTAAATAATATTAATGTGTGTGTACATATTATATATATATAATATTATATATTATATAGTATATATTATATGTTATATATGATATATGATATATG